CTAAATTATCCTGGCTGAGCTTGAATTTGTGCTATTCCTGCCTCAATCCCCCAAAGTGCTAGGATTACAGGTGTGTGCCACCACCTGGCTAACCAGCATTGTTGGTTACAAATGACAAGAAGCCAGCAGTCTGATTTAAACACAAAGGAGCTCTAGCTCTCTGCTGAGGGAGGCTCGGGGTGGGCTCCTGGCCTGGATGTACTCGCTGAGCTCCTCTCCAAACTTGGTAGCAGGGAGGGAGCCTCCAGGACCCACAGGGCCCCAAAGGAGCCTGCAATAAATGGCACCGAAGTCCCAAAACCAGTAGAGGAGGGAACAGGTGCCAGTAAAGGAAGGAACAGGTGCCGGGCAGGCGGAGCAACAGGTGTCCCCTGGGGGTGGTCACACAGGCTCCTCTGTCAGCGAAGCCCTTAGCTCCTGTCATGTGACTGTTGAAGCCCTTAGCTCCTGTTGTGTGGCTGTCGTTATTGGTAGGGAGATTTCCTGGTCCTTTTTTTTTTTGGTTCCGGGGATTGAACTCGGGTCCTTGCACTTTTGAGGTAGGCGGTGGAACCACTGAGCTAAATCCCCGGCCCCTGGTACTTTTTTTTCTTTTTTCTTTTTTTTTTTTTTTTGAGGCAGAGTATGTGGTTCAAGCTGGCTTTGAACTCACTATGTGGTCCAGGTTGGCCTTAAACTCACAGTGATCCTCCTGCCTCAACCTCCTCAGTGCTGGGATTACAGGTGTGCACCACCACACTTGGCTTTCCTGGTCTGACCTTTTATCCCAACAACTGGTTGCTTTGCCAGGCCATCAGAACAAGGGTTTCCCCTCCCATCTTGGGTTTCTCAAGTCCACTGGGGCTCAGGGCATCCTGCTTCTCCTCTGGCAGACATCTTATCAGCCTCCTTTCTCTCTTCTGGGGACTAGTTGGAGTCTGGACGTTGTTGCTTAGGCATTCTCTGCTCAGGTAAATTAGAAACAATTTGAAGCTGGGCATGGTGGCACACACCTGTAATCCCAACAGCCTATAATCCTAGCACTCAGGAGGCTGAGGCAGGAGGATCACACAAATTTGAGACCAGCCTGAACTACACAATGTGACTCTGTCAAAAGAGAGAGAACTTGATTACCCAAGCCCTCTGCCACTGATCTCCATTCTCAGCCCTTTCCAGTCTTTGTTATCAAATCATTAAGGTCAGGTTCAGTTGTAATAAATGGAAAACAAAACATTTAAAGCAGTGGCTTAAGTGTGATAGAATTTTTTTCTGTCTTCTATAAAATAAGTCTAGAGATAAGCAGTATGGAACCCAAACAGCACTTCCACAGTCGCTGAGTGCTAGGGGGCCTACTGCTGCAAACTCAACTGCCCCAAACTTTCAAGGCTTCAAACAAAAAACCTGTCTTCCTGTCCAACACCAGTTCTGGAATATTAGGAGCCCGCAAGCAGCGCTGGCGCTGCAGTGCGACTCTCCAGTATCACCAGGCTACAGCAACAGTGGTCAGTGGCCCAGGGTCTCGCCAGGGTTGGTTAAAGCTTCAGTTCCCAGCCTTGTGGGTCTTGCCATGGACACAATGGGCGGCTTCCCCCAGGGCTAGGGACACAGGACAAAAGAGGGGTAAGGAGAGACGGGAGTGGTGGTGCATGCCTGTCATCCCAGCACTCAGGAGGCTGAGGCTGGAGGATTCACTGCAAGCAATGGGAGAGGGGGAGAGGCACCCTCCTTCCCTCTGCCCAGGGCCGCGGTCCCTCAGCTGAGCCCGGCCCAGGGCCCACTCCTGGCTTCCAGCACAGCCTCAGCCGGGCCGGGCCTCTCCCAGGCTCTGCACCCGGCCCTGCCCCTGGATTGCTGACCTGGCCCGCGCCGCCCTCGACCTCCCTCCCACCCTAAGGTTCTACCTCACCCGACTCCCTCCCAGCCGGCCCTACTCCTCCGTCCCCTGCTCCAGGCAGTCGCCACCTTCTCCTCCCTCCCGAAAAGACAGCGAGGGACCCCGGGGGGTGGGGTCCAGCGAGCGCGTTCACTCACGCCCTTTCTGATCGGAGGCGCCCGCGTCGTTCTCTGCCCGTCAGAGCGAGGCCCGCGCCCCCCCTGGTGGCCAAGGTGGGGACCGAGCGAGCTCGGGGCACAGGTGGCCAGGCCCAGGGAACGCGAGGACCTGTCCCGCCCCATGGCGGCACTTCCACCCCCAGCGGTTCAACAACTACCTTTTTATATACTTTTTTTTTGGTACCGGGGATAGAACTCGGGTCCTTGCACTTGCGAGTCAGGCGGGAGAACCACTGAGCTAAATCCCCGGCCCTTAACTTTACCTTTTTAAATGGCCGTTCCAAAGTTTTCCATTGCTCGTGTACACGGCATTCCATTTTTGTATTTCTTCTGCTCTAGGGAGTGGGTTCCCAGAAAATCTGAGTTTTAATTTTTAACTCCACTGTAGGCCCCACAGGTTGGGCACCCTGGCACCATGGAAATGGAGGTGTGTGGGGACAAGCCCTGACTCTCAGATCTGGCCCAAGCCCATGGGCGTGACCCCAGGCAAGTCAGCCAGGTGGCATCTGCTTGGGCTCTTGGTGGCAAGAGCTCGAAGAGACTGATCGGACAGCCATGGCCCACGAGGGCAGGAGACCGGCACTCACGGGCCGAAGACTGGGTGCCAGTGTTGGCTGTGCCACTCGTTGTGTGACCACACTTGCTTGGCACTTCACAAGAGGTCAAGGCCTGGTCTCCTTGGCAGAGGCTCCACCACCACAAGCCTGATGGCGGGCATCCCCTGAGGAGGGTGCTAGGGGAGAGGCTGCTTTTTCTGGAATGTTCATTTGTACCAGGGAAAGTTTTTAATGTCTGCAGAAAAGTATATTTTATTTTCAGGTACTGGGGATTGAACCCAGGGCCTTTTATCTAGTCACATCCCCAGCCTGTTTTTTACTTTTTGAGACAGTGTCTTGATAAATTGCTGTGTTGCTCAGGCTGGGCTCAAATTTGCAGTCTGACTGCTTCAGCCTCCCAGAGGCTGAGATTACAGAGAAAGTATTGTCCAGGGTGGAAAATGCAGCACGCATGAGGCCCTGGGTTCAATTCCAGCATCAAAATAAGAGCGCCAGTCCATACTTTGAAATGCATGGGAGTGGCCTGGAAAACCAATGAGAGGGGAGGGTGCCTGAGGTAGCAGGGACCAGGCCCAGGCTAGCTGAGGGAGGCCCATGGCCAAACCACACACACATAGCACCCTCTTTCATCACGGGGTACCCAGAAGGTCACGGTCCTCGGGGTCTGAGTCTTCCTGTTGCCTCTGACCACTTGACACCAGGTCCCAGGGGCCAAGCCCTGAGTCAAAAAGGACTCTGAGGTACCCAGGATGCCAGAAGCACCCAGCCTTTCTTTAAAAAAAAAATCCTAATGGAGGGGATTCAAGGGAGACACACACCACACACACAGTTGGAGGGGAAAAACACTCCTCCGCCACCATCACCTTTTGACATTAAATCCGAGGGGCCAGGGTAGCTCTTCCCTTCCGAGAGACTGTGGTGCTGGACAGCAGGCCTGACCTAAGGTGTGCTGTCCCCTTACAAATATGGCTGCCAGGCCTCTCAAGTCCAGGAACTATGTTAGTCCAAATGCTCCTATCTGCCCAAGTTCTAGCTGGGGAGGATGCCTCAGGATCCAGTCCCACAGCAGCTCACCCCGCAGGGACAGTGGCTTTCAGGGACAGCTAGAGAAGTTAGGGTGAGTACAACTTCTGGGGCTTGAGGTCTGTGACTGCAGCCATTATGCCTGGGAAGGGTGACACCTCAGGCAGCTGCAGGGAAGCGCTGGGGAACACAGGAGGGAGTGAGGGGCAGAGGCCGCTCCTCCTGGGCGGCTCTAGGAGCAGCCGCCTGCACAAGGCAGACAGGACTTCTTCCCCTTCAGGCTGAACTCTGGGTGTTCTCAGCTCTCTAAACCTGTCCAAACCCATCTTGATGCCCTGGTGCCTCAGAGGTTCCATCTTACGGTGCTTGTGGTATTGCTCAGGCTCATGTGGAGTTCTCAGCTGCAGGTGCCAGTCAAGGGCCACTGGTCTAGGGACCTCTTGGACAGCCAAATGCCAGGGTCCAGAGAAGCCCATCAGCGCGACCACTGGCTAATGAATTAGAACTTAGCCAGAAAAGGTGGCACACACCTGTAATCCCAGCACTCGGAAGGCTGAGGCAGGAGCACTCTGAGTTCGAGGCCAGCCTGAACTACATAGTGAGACCTTGTCTCAAAAAAATACAAAAACAGGGCTGGAGATTTAGCTCAGTGGCACTGTGCCACCATGCAAGTGCAAGGTCCTGAGTTCGAACCCTGGTGCTAGGAAAACAAACACCCCACACAGCTCTGGCATCAGCTCAGATTTGAGTGCCATCTGCAGTGAACCTTCTGACCATTTTGCTTTTGAGCATTGAAGGGAGCTACGATGGCTTGGGGAGTGCTCCCCGCACTGCCCTGGCAGGCGCTGTGACACTATAGAACACACAATGCAGGGAGCAGAGCGTGGAGGAATGAGTAAGGAGAAAGCAGTGGAAGAGTTGGAAGGAAGAACACAGGAGACTCAAGGAACACTCTTCCCTTTGTCCCCAACAAAAGCAGCGGTGGGCTCCTGACTGGGACACAGACCGACGGGACAGTGTCACCCTCTGGTGGCCATTGAGGGCACATACACTGGAATCAATGGAGGCTGGCATGGGATGTGGAGGGGCTCTCTGGTAGGCAGATCAGTCCCAGTGGGAGGCCATCCTGCCAGTGACAGGCTGTGCTTCAGGAAGCAGGTGGACATGGCCTTTGAGGCTCAGAACTGGCTTTTCACTGCTCCAGCGGCCGGCCTGCAGTCAAGACAGGGGAGGGCCTGCTGGCCACCACGGCTGTGGTGACACAGCCCTTCCCACATCAGTTACCCACCTCCTAAGAGCTGCTCAGAGGAGCAGAACGGAGGGGTGTTTGAAAAATGGGCCAAGAATCTTCATGGGCACTATCTCATTGATCAAGGTCCAGCCATTTGCCAAGGTATATACACATTTTATTTAAAAAAGTTTACAGTTTTCATTATACACAACTATTAAGAGGTTATAGTCAAGAGGTGGCATTTGTCCTGGTGACAGACGTGCCCACTAGATCATCACGATGCAGGGAAAGAGATGGAAGGGAGGAAATGGGGCAAGGAAAACGTCAGCGATAAAAAGCTTAGATTTCAACACAGGGCTGATAAATCCCTTTGATCTTTTCAAGTATCACATGGTATGTACCAAATACAATCAGTAAATAATGGCCATTTCTTACCAAGCTCACAGCCAAGACAAGTATTTGCTAAACAAAGAGCCCTTCCTCTGGAGAAGGGAAGCTACGAACCTCAGCCTCTGCTCCACGAGGCCTGCTGGGGCTGCCAGGAAGTGGGAACACAGATCTAGAAGTCCAAGAAATGCAGTTCCTGTGCCCAAGTGGAAACAATATGATCTTCCTCAACAAGGTTGTGAACCTAGTTAGGAAGCAAATGAAGTAAAACCCTGCTTTTATAAATTCGCACTAAAACACAGGAGGGAGACATGCCACTTAAAACCAAGCACTAGTTCCCAGACAAGGGGTCTGGAAACCTGAGCTGTGGAGGCTAGTGGGAGTCCAGCCATCCCCACAGGAGGCCGAGGAAAAAGCAAGCATTGGGGCAGACCAAAGGGGGGCTTCTGGGAGCCACTGGGGGGGGGGGCTCCTCAGGAGCCTGGATCAGCCAGTTGGCAAATCAGAACAGCTTTTGAAGTGGACAAAAACATTAGTAATGGAGAGATTATATGGCAACTTCTGACAGTTCTCTCATTGGTATAAAATGCTGGCTGAAACTGCAGAGTAACCTCAAGGAGGGTGCTGAGACTGAGAACAAAAAACCCAAGACACCATTGCTGCTCACTGGCCCCAGTGATGGGCTTTCGGGCTGCCGGCTGCAGCCACCTCGTTTGCCGATGTTTGGCACGAGCTGGAGTTCAGACCTTGGAGTGGGAACATGGGATGGCCTGTGCTGGTAAACCACAAGGTAGGATTTCAAAAATGCTGGGTACCAAGGTAGGGGAACTGCCAGCAGCAGCTCTGACCTCCTGTTACCACCTGGGGCTGAGTTCACCTCTCCATCGCTCTGAGGGCCTTTCTGTTAGGAAGGGACACACTGACAGCTCAGAAGGGCTTCGGGGTCACAACAGCTCCTGCTGCAGACTATGGGGGCCCAGAGTCCCAATGAGGCCTCCTCCCAGCTCCTCCGAGCCTCCGAGTACGATCTCCTCTTCCAACCTCACACAGGAGCAGGGGACAGAAAGTCAGCATTAGAAGGGATCCTGTCCAACTTACAAAAGGAAAAGGCTCAGACAGCCCAAACACGTGGTGGGTCAGGGCTAGTGCCCTGAAGGGAGACCCACACAGAACAGGAGGAAGGGTGTGACTCGGGCAGCAAGCCCAGGAGTTCCTGGTGCTAACAGAGAAGCCTAATTACACCTTCACCACATGCACTCCGCAGCCACACTTGACCTGCTGCTTCACCCCAATATCCATGTGGGCCCTGCACCTCAGCCAGTGTTGCTGGGGCTCTGGAAAGGGGGCAAGCTGAGGGTTTTTCATTGGAGAAAGTGGGTTTCTGTGAAGGCAGTGCTGCGGCACTGTTCATGGATCTTCCCTACACTGGGTTCTTTCTGGACAAGATCAAAGCAATTATCTGGACTGGGGGGGGATAATTAGAACAGTATTGTTTATACAATATTGAAAAAATACAATTTTTTATTGTTTGAACTCAAATCACCACCCAGCACTTCAAGCCTACCCTAAGTAGCACCTAACAATAAAGGTTACAGAACAAACAGACTGTGAATGAGGCAGGGGAGCAAGTCGGACAGCGCCAGCAGAGACCCTCCCACTGCCAAAGCAACGAAGACAGCGCCCTAGGTCAAAGCACACCATTACATGTTACAGTTAATACTACCCTTCCAACAAGCCACAAATGCTAGCGCTAACTCGGTACAGTTAACTAACCACAGCCTTACAGAACTGCACTTTTTAAAAAAGAAAACCTCTTGCTTCGTGCCCGTAATTAATATAAGTAAATTCTTTGTCTTTTATTTAGGAAAATAATTATGCTAAAAGCAAGTTGTACTTTTTCAAAGAAAAGATTGATTGTGCTTTTTGAATTAAAAAAAAAAGATTAGGTATCTTCCAACCTCACTGACTTAAACCTTGTGGAATATAGCACTTCTAAACTAAAAACACATCAAAAAGAAAAATTATCCCAGGCAAAGATTCAAAAGTTGTCTTTAGAAGGTCTTAGAATTGGCTAAAACTGCTATTGTCCTATTGGTTGTGAGGGAAAAAAAAAAAAAATACAGAGCTGCTATTTGAAACTTCTCCAAATCCCCCTCCAGAGTCAGTGGGCAACACTCAGATTTGAAAGAAACTCCACGGCAACCTGGATGCAGGGTTAGCTGAGCAAATACTGGATTGACAGGCATTTTAAACAGTTTGACTTGCTCTTAAACACAGGACAGAGAGCGTCCTTCACAAGCTGTCATCCTACTTCACATTCCAAAATCCCTCTTTTCTAGCCAGTCTTTCTCTGAAGAAAGCTGTTTTTCCCAATGTTGAGCCACTCTGGGTACAAGAACCTTTATTTGTTCCAGTTGTTTTTCATTTCAAGTTGAGAATGTGCATTGGGTTTGAAATACCTATATCCCACTCCCCACAGGCGGATGATAACTGCGCTGCTGCCAGGAGGAAAAACCAAACCCGAACATGGAGGAGTCCAGGGTTTCGAAGCTACCAGGCCAGTCTTCTCACATCTACAGGTCCACTGAGCGGCTTGTCCAGAGAGACCACCTCTTAGCACGAAAAGATGACACTTGTAGCCTGTCTAAGCACAATTCACACAAATTGAAAAAACCAAAAGCAAAAACCCCCTTCAGTTTAATTTAGTCCAGGCAATGGTCTTGAGCTGGCCCAACACTAGAATTAAGATGGGATTTTGCACGTGTTTTGGATTAGAGGAAATATCTTCCAGTCACTTTTCTCCTCCTGTCCTCTCAAAAAAAAAAAAAAAAAAAAAAGGTTTGGATCACAAGCTGTCCCCAAGAAAAAGAATCAGGTTCAGAAAATACTTCCAAAAGGTTCTCCAATGCACAATGTGGTAGCTGCAGGTTTGGCAGTATGAAGGGCAGGAATCTACATATAAAAATGCACTTAAATCCCAGTCAAAAATGTTTTCTCAATGCTCCAATTAGCTCCCTGCTTTACATTGATACTCCACAGAAATGGCCCACCTAGGACTCCCAGGAAGGGGCCGCTAATTTGTACGTGGCTGGCTCTACATGCTCCCAAAGCAGGCCTCTTCCTCCCCAATTTTTTCCTTTCCAATTTGAAAAAGCACTATTCCTATCTTCACATCCAAGAGCTGATTGGTTTGGTTTGTTTCTTTGGAACCATCAATAAAAAGAAGCAACTTTTCCTGTTAGTTTTACTCTTATCTACTTATCAGAGTGGCTATGTGACATTCAGTAGCACACAGGCTGCCTTGGCCAAATAGACTTATGAATGCATGCATTCAGACCGCATATTGCTACCAAAATGGAATGTGGGAATATGCTATGCACCTCAGGTTGAGAAATGACCAAGAAATCAAGATCTAAAGGGTGATATATAATATATATATATCAATGCTATTATTCATAAAAACCTTGTTTAGTAATAAAAAAAATTGCTTTGTTTAAATATGAATATTATAGTCTGCTTCTCATGGTTAGGAAATAATAGTCTTTCTGAAAAGCAGGTGCTTTTTTCTACTACAACTCCATGTCCTGGGCCTCGTCTTCCGAAAAGTCAGACATAGAACTCTCTGATGAGCTGTCCCCAGTGCCCTCTTCCTGCTCCTTCAGGGCCTCTTCCGTTGCATACTTCTGGATGTACTCTGCACAGGGGTGGGGAAAGAAAACATAAGGGGTAAGTGACCAGACTCCAAAGTTGCTGAGTCCCATAAGTTCAGATTCCCCTTCTGGGCCAGGGTGGGAAAGAAGAGGGATGACCACGGTAGGAGAGCAACACAGAATGCCTGACTTATGGACAGATTAAGTACCTTGCATTCCCACCCTGGGATGCTGGGAGGGTGGGAACAATGGTCACCCCACACTTTGTTTTTACTTTCATGTCAATAAAATGATTTGCTTCCCAGACAGAACATGACGTTAAGATTCCATAGCAACTTACCCGGAAATCCCCATTGTTTTCAGGTTTGCAGTTATATAATTATAGCTAGCCCAGATCTATTATTTTAGGAACAGACTTTAGTCTACACAGATTCTGCCTGACAGGTTTTGGAAGCAACCAGTAAGAATTTTTTCTCGGTCTGCTCATTAGGAATGAGCTGCTGCCCAAAGGCACGCACAGCAGCTTGAGTGGCTTTACCATGTATCCTTTACTTTGAGTTTATGCTGCTGTATCCTAGGCTGAATCTGCTGGCTGACAAAGAATTTAGGAACAGCTGAATAAACAATAAACTTCTCCGTAAAGGTACACTCTGTTTTCAAGTAAATCGCCTACACACAGTATGAAGAGACAGACGGTGGGAATCCCATCAGAGTGGCAGCTGGACACACACTCATACCCACATGTCCTTAGGGTTTGTCTTTTCTCCCACGCAGTTGCGGACTGTAACATGAAGATGGGAAACTGGCCACGGGGGCCTGCCAAAGCTGAGGAGCCAGTACAGGGGTCTTGCTAGGATTATTTTTTATACTTTCCTTTACAAAGTTTGTAGACAAGCATTAGAGCTCTTTAAATGTCTAGAACTTTACAATGAGATCATGAGATTAGACGAGCCCTCATCTAGGTAAGAATTTACCTAAATTTACATTTAAGAATGAGAGGAATGTTTACTAAAGCCTTAGAAATGTTATTTTTGCCTTCTAATGGGCTGACCATTCTGTTTCTTCTTTCACAGAAGTTACTGCTCCAGGACATTGTTTCTTGACACTCTAACTCAATGATGGTGAACCTTTTAGAGCTTTCAGTGATACAAACAGTCCGTTGTGGCATGTGTGCCATAGGCTCACCACCACTGCTTTAATTTGATCTTACTAGCTTTCTTTAGAATATTCAAGGAGACAAATGTTTGAGAAATGTTTTCAGGAGACAGACCAGTGAAGAGCAAGGTCACTAAGAGAAGGAGAACAGATGTAGGCAACAGGCAGAAGCTGCTGAAGTGCCCTGCAGGAAGCATCTATGCAAGGAATTGGCTGAGGCCAGGGAGGCAGGCACAGCCGCATAGACCCGAGCTCTTCCAGCTGCAGTGGAGGTCAGGCTGTTCCAGGGGAAGGGGCTCAGCCTCACCCAAATTAAGTGGCTGGGACATAAAAACACTGTACTAAGAGCTACCTGTGTCTTCTTGCTTGCAAATAAGGCAGAGTAGAGAGGTGTGGCAGAGATGAATGGTGGGTCTGAAATTTTCCGTGACTACAAAAGGAGTGAATATATTTGGGTACCTGATACTCACTGAACTGCATTGTCACACAGTGGTGACAGGAGTCAAGGCACAGAGGTCATTGCCTCAGTAGCAGAGAGCCCCAAACGACAGGCTGATGGCCCTTGGCAAAGGTTTTTGAGCAAAGAAGTGACATTTCTTTGGACAGCTCTAAGGATCCCCCGTCTCACAGGTGCTCAATATTTAAACCTATTTTCAAGGCTGCACCCTAAACCAGCATCAACTAGACAGGAATGTTGACATCTGGGCTACACAAGGGCGAGTACGCCTCACCTCGAGATGAGTGTGCTGACTTGTGGGGACTGCCACAGTGGCAGCCTGGAAGAGGGGTCAGGCCTGAACACACACATTTAGGAATCATCAAGTTGGAGCGATTACCTGAAGCTGAGAGGTGAATTATTTCCTAATGGGGAGAGGAAGAGGGAGCATAAAACCAACTCATAAAAGGTCCACATTTTGGAAATAGAATGAGCAGTTCTCAGAAAGCTAAGGAGTAAGGGCTAGGGATTTAGCTCAGTGGTTCTACCACCTGCCTCGAAATCACAAAGTCCCGAGTTCTATCCCCGGTACCAAAGAAAGAAAGGAGTAAAACACCAGAGCTGCAGAGAGGTCCACGAAAATGGGACTTAAGAAGGGTCCATGGGAGAGAGGAAAGGACCTCATAGGCTCAGCACAAGAAGGGAAATAAAGGATTGTGGGATTTTAAGCCAAGGAAGCAGGAAGTTTGAAAGTGAAATAAATAGCTTGAATCCTAAGGGAACCCACAGGAGCACCTCATTTCCTGTAGGGACAAAAATGAAACAAATATGGGGAAAGGTGCTATATAAAAGCACAGCAGAAAGCAGAGGTGAGCTCAAGCCTAATGGCCATGATTCTCCCAAATCACCAAGAAGACATAATGGTCTCTGCCATTAACACTTCTGAAAGCCAGAGAGGCCATTCTAAGACAAACACAGGCTGGGTTCCTTTTGTACTTGGGGCCAGAGCAGATATGCACTACAGTACAGCTTGTGTTAAACTGCTGAGGCATAATGAATAAGAACTACAGAAATATACTCTGCACTGAGATATTTGTGGTTTGCAGACCCTGCTAAGTAACTCCTACAACAAAATTTTAACAGACTCTCACAACAGAATTTTATCTGGTTGAAAATGACTACCTCTTTCTTGGGATACATGTTTGTTTGGTTATATAGATATTGTGCTACATAGATTAGACATTAATTTGCAAAGCCCTTGAGACTTGAGTAAATTAATTGCAGTAGATTTATTTTTACTTTATCTAAACAAAAGCACCAAAGTAATACCCTAGAGAGACCTGGGGAGAATGAGGAAACAAACAAAGGAAAACAACTCCAGTTTGTCTTTCCTCCCTCATGAACTACTTCTGCTGTCATTTCTTGCAAATGTGCCTCAGAGGCGCCGCCACAGCTTGAGGAGACTGATGTTCTACATCCACGGTAGATGGTTAAGTTGTGCTGAAAGCTTGGAAGATCCTAGTGCCTATTGGTTAAGAGCAGATGCATCTCCACTGACTCTGAATTCCTCTCCTTTCTGGTGGAGCTTTATGGATCCAGACTTTTCACTATGGAAGTTCTTAAATATTACAAGGAGGAGAAGGACAAGCCAATGAACATCACCAAACCCACTGGGGCTTGCTCTCTCCCTCCCTCCTTTTCTTGGTACTGGGGAATCACACTCAGGGCCTCTGCCTCAGGACCCTGTGCTTACAAGGCAGGTGGCGGCATCACTGAGCAAAATCCCCGGCCCATCCCCGGCTTTTAAAAAATTTTAATTTTGAGGCAAGTCTTACTATGTCATCAAATTGGCCAGACTGTGCTTGTATTTCCAATCCTCCTGTCTCAGCCTCCCAGAATGCTGGGATTAGTGGTGTGTGCCATCACTCCCAGCCCCACTTGAGCTTCAGATGTTCTTTTGTAACTGTATTTTCCTTTGAATGCAACTCTAGTCCCATGATTGTGGGAACACAGGATTCTAAATCCTAAGCGCAGTCTAGCTGGGGCTGCTAGTGCTTGTGTTCAAGGTTGCTCAATGCTATTTAAGCCTACAGCTGTTGGCTTAGGCCTGAGAAAATCATGAGGAACCATGTAACTCACAAAAGGCTCTAAGTGACTAAAGCTCAAGAAGTTTAAATTCTTCTGACTCCAGGTTAAATTGTGTGCCTCCTTACCTTTAATTTTCTGCTTGTATTCTTCTGGTCGGTGGAGGTACATGGCTGCTGCATCACCATTGAGAGGATCTATGGGATTAGGATAGGCCAACAGCTGAGGCAAGAAGGACTCAAATATGTTGGTAAGATCTGAAAAACAAACACAAGTTCTTCATGCTTGGGAACACAAACATTCAAAATTCACTTGAATTCAGGAGTCAAACCTGCTATCTTCTTAAATATTTAACTACATGGGGATGATTTTTCCATAAATGTGTGTTCCACTACACAAAACTTACATTATATATTCTTTTCATTTCTTTTTTCTGGTACTGGGGACCGAACTTGGGACCTTTCGCTTGTGAGGCAGGAGTTGGAACCACTGAGCTAAATCCCTGGCCCTCATTGTATATTCTTTTTTTTGAAGGGGAGAGAGAGTCTCACTAATGCAGTTCAGGCTGGTCTTGAACTCACTATATAGCTGAGGCTGGTCTCAAACTGGCAGCAATCCTTCTGCCGCAGCCTCCTGAGTGCTGGGATCACAGGCGTGTGCCATCACACCCAGCCCATTTTTTTAAAGGTAGGTCTTGCTAAATCACTAAATTGCCTAAGATGGGCTTGAACTTTCAGTCCTCCTGCCACAGCTTCCTGAGTGTTGGGATTATATGTAATGTATGACCATACCTAGCCCAATTAAAAATTTTAAATCCAATTTTAATTTGAAGAACAAGTTTAAGATATATCTGGCATTTTCTCTGAAATTTTTCCAATTCTTTTTTTTCTTTTTCTTTTTGTGGTGCTGGGGATGATCAAATCCAGGGCCCCATACATATTAGCCAAGTATTCTACCACTGACCTACACTCCCAGATCCAATTTTCCCAATTCCATTTCACTCTATTTTCCAAACTGAGAAGTTAGAAATACTACATACATTACTAATTAAAACTTGTGTTCTGAACTCTACAGCACCCTGTATTACTTCAGAATGAGTAAACTTAAGATAACAATTTCTACAACTCTCTACTCTAAAAAGTACTCAAGCACAGATGAACAAATTTTATAGGACATGATGTCTCTCATTAAAAATTTGTTTTGTTTTGTTTTTGTGATAGGGTCTAGCACCCTATGCTCACCAGGCTGGCCTTGAATTTATGACCCTCCTACCTCAGCCTCCTGGCTAGCTAGGAATACAGGCATGTACCACAGGGTCCAGCTTAATTCTCATTAACTTCAAATGGAGGTAAATACAACCAATTTTTCTTTTTTTGTAATGGAACAATTAATGAAATTATGTGTCCTCCTTGCACAGAGGCCATGCTCATCTTCTCTGTATTGTTCCAACTTTAGTGTATGTGCTGCCGAAATGAGAACTAGCTTTTCAATTATTCTGGGTGATATGGGCTATAATCATAAAGCAGATAAGCACCAATTTGTGGAATTCATTAATCATTTTAATAAACATTAACTCCCTTCTTGCCAGGAATACACAAATGAAATCCACTCACTCAGTGAACAAGATAAACCCTGTGGTTAACCTGCTTTATAAAGGGAGCAGGTCTTGACTGGGTGTAGGGCCACAGGTGATGGTACATACCTGTCATTACAGCTACTTGGAGGCTGAGGAGTGGGCATGGTGGCAAATGCCTATAACCCCAGCACTGGGGAGGCTGAGGCTGAAGGATTGCCATGAGTTCTAGGCCAGCCTGGGCTACACAGAATTCAAGGCCAGTCTGAACTGCAAAGCTCTGAGAACTGGGTTTTTTGCTATCTCAAAAAACATAAATGAATAAATAAAGAAAAATAAGTTAAACCAGGATGTACTGTAATCTATACTTCCCCACAGCTTTGGAATGCTGTAATTTTTTTTTTTTTTTGAAGAAAAACCTTTTATTATGCCGGCAGGCTCAGAGGAGTTCATACTCCAAAGTCTGAACACCTGACTAGAAATGGGAGCCTCCTTATATAGGGATCTACAGGGTAGGCAAGCATGTTCACTGAAGCAGCGGGGCAGAGTTACAGAACATTCCTGAAACACATACCTGCAGAGTTAACAGAACATGGAATGCTGTGATTTCTATTCTATTTGTTCCTCAATTGGCAAAGAGTGGATTGGAAAACCTGAGTGCTTCCATTTTTCTATTTCATCAGCTATTCTGTCATGTTTTCCATAAATGTTTCTGTTTCTGCAGCCAATGTGGAAGTATAAAAGATGGTATAAAAACCTACTCTTTAATTTATTCTGGATTGATATTTTACAGTGAGCATGCCTATGTAGTGTTGCAGGTGAGTGCTTTGCCAAGCCACATCATTTAAGATTTGGAGTTCTTAGGGTGATTTTGTTCCCCAAGGGATCTGGCAATGTCTGGAGACACTGCATGTTGTCACAACTGGGTGGCAGAGACGTGCAGTGGGTAGAGAACAGAAACAAGTGTTGAAGCATTGTATAGTACACAGGACAGCCCCAATCAGAGAACCATGTGGACCAAAATATTATGCGTGGTGAGGCTGGAAAACCATGCTCTGGATAAAAGATGTTGGTAATCCTTTTCCTAAGAAGATGGAGTAAATACTTCAGGGCCACAAATAGTGAGCACAAATATTTGTGAGCCACAAACAGTTTCTGTTCAAGACCCAGTTCTGCCACTGTAGCACAAAAGCAGCCAAACGTACCAGGGAAACAAATAGCGAACAAATGTGAGTGTGTTCCAATAAATCTTTCTATATAAAAACCGGCAGGCAAAGTTTGCACTCTGCTCTAGAACATCAGAGGTGGCACTTCCTTATCACTGTAGGGTGAAAAAGCTGAGCAGCAGTGCTACTCAACAGAACTTCCTGCAGTGATGGAAATGTTTTGCATCTGCACTGTCCAAAACAGAGGCACTAAATCTGATGGTTGCAAAATAAAAGGGGGCAGTGGGAAGGGGGAAAAAAAAGAATTGAAATGTGTTATGTACATGTACCAATTCCCTCAAACATGTAGTAACAAAAATCAAAAACAAAACAGTAGCCACACCTCACATGTGGCCACTGAGCACCTAAAATGTAACTAATGTAGATAAGGAAGTAAGATTTTCCTTATACGGAAGTCTAAGTTAATTAAAACAGCCATATGTGGGTGTACTGGGCAGTCCAAGTCTAGAGCAGGATGTGCCAGAATCCCTCAGTGGTGAACACTGACAACCCTGATCTCATGAACCAGATAAGATACCCTTAACCCTAACCCAAAGTTACGTCCAGATGTGGAGCAGTTTCACCTTTATAAGGTCAACTTCAGAACAGTCCCAAAGAATAATAGTACAGTAAGACTCTCACGTACCACTAAACAGAAGCTGAAGTTCTCAATCAAAAAAGCAAACAAAATGACCTTCCAAGATAACCCCAAACTATCTGATTTTGTTTTGCTTATAGTTTTTTTTTTTTAAAGGAAGCAACAAAGTCAATAAGTCAATAATTATTTATTGCACAAAGCCAAGGAAAACTAATTGTAAATGCTAAGGAACAAAGAAAAATGCTTATGCTTGAATGCTGGATGGAAAAAGGCCATAAAACAGTATGTACAGTGTGCATACATAAGAATGTTTTTAAAGTTATGCCAAAGAAATGGGCTTATAAAACTTCTACTTTTCACACATCGAATAATACTACTTTTCTCTTTAAAGAAAACATTTCAGTCATAGACAATGCCCAAAAGTAAGCAAATTGCGAAGTTTTACAAAGCAAGTGTGTTCCCAGAGTAGGAAGAGTTAATAAGAATTACAGCAACAGCCGGGGATGTAGCTTAGTGGCACTGTGCCTGCCTGGCAAGCACAAGGTCCTGAGTTTGATTCCTGTACCGGAAAATAAAAAACAAAAAAAAGCAAAAACAAGAATCACAGTAACAGTAGTAGTAATAATAGCAGTGGCAGCAGACTATCCCTTGCACAGCACTTGCTACAAGCCAAGCACTCTTCAGCTTTTGTTGCAAATGTGCAGCCAATGAGGGTGAGTACCTTCCCGGCCTCCATTTCAAACACAAAGAAACTGTGGCACACAGGTGAAGTGACTTGCCCAAGAAGCTGGATTTCAAATCTGGGCTTAGCCACCACGTTGCCTTTGCTAGCAAACACAACCACCTCAACTTCCATAGTGGTCCAAGCTGCCCACGTCTCTGTAGCAAAGTCTTACCACTCATGGGCAGGAGAGCCAAAGCCATGGCTGAGATGAGGGTGCCTCTCCCCAAAGCTCCCCTCCTCTCAAGTACAAGGCTGTGGATGGACTCTAAGCAGAGAACATGCAGGCATTTCTTTTTGTTTTTTTGAGACAAATCTGGCTATATAGTTCAGGCTGGCCTTGAACTCATACTACAATAGCCCAGGCTGCCCTTGAACTTGCAGCAATCCTCCTGCCACAAACCTCCCAAGTTCAAGGATTATAGGCCTGCACCACTGTATGCCTGGCCATTCAGGTATTTCTCTGGCTACTTCACAGAGGCAGTGTGCTTGTTTTCAAATGGCTCAACACAGGATGTGACCCACACTGTTCATAGATGTGTGCAGTGAGCTGGGGGCTTCTGACACATTATTATTATAGGTGGTGCTCCAAAGAATTAGCTGCTGAATGTGCCTACCAAACATCAACAAAAACCTTTAAAAAACAAAGTATAGGTTTGGTTCTCTTTCAGTAATATTCTGAGTGCTTCAGGCTAGAGAAATACTGCAGACAAGATATTACACAACTAAGGGTTTCCTGTGTCCCCGGAAGAGATTTTATACCCTTCCCTACCACTTTTAAGTTTCCTCAAGCTACCAAATAAGTGGCTTTAGACTGTGTTTGTTCCAAACAAATAAAAGAACCCTTAATTATTGGTTCTTTCTTCCTGTATCTGTCTTCCTTCATTAACACACTGTTGATCCATTTTTACAGATGTACTGAGTCACATCTGTAAAACAGGTGAGCAGAAAAGGAAAAGCCCACAGCTTGGTTTTGAGTGACGTCAACAGCTTGCCAAGGTCAAGAGGTTCTGGTCCTGGCCATTCTAAAGCAGTGAACCATCCCATCCATCAAGGTGGCTGGCAGAGGGGTGACCCAGGGAGTCCTCCTGAAAGGAGCATCTCTCACCTGTGCAGATGTGCAGGGTTGGGAGTAGGGCGCTCGCCTAGCACTTGTGAGG